GGCGCATCATCGCATACGCATGGTCCGTGGTTCGAATACCGGGTAGATGCCCTTCCGCACACAACCAGGCCTATATCCCTCCTAGGTTGGATACTTGGTACTAGGGCTTGGTAGGCGAGGATAAAAGCACTACTTTTACATAGGGAGGCCACCGCAAGACTTGTATAGACGACATACGCATCCATAATCGGCTGTACGATTCTGAATCGAAATTGAAGAGGGGTGCATTTCAAAAACAGGATCGATTAGCGTCAAAAGACTTTATCCTTATCAGATTTATCAAATAGGGGTGAAATAGTGTAGGATTAAAGGTCAGTACTCTCCAAGGAACGGTTCACATTACTGAAAAGGCCTGGTATACAGAGCGCAGTGATTAAGGCGCTTGTTCGCCTTTGCACGATCTCTGGATCACTCCCAGTGATTTGACTACTTTCTGTTAAGGACTTCCGTTTTGGATTCAGCCTGTACAACTTCACTATAATTTAAGTTGTAGGCAAATAACTATGAGTGCTTCTCTGAAAAATGTCTCACTCAGTAATAACTGAAATTGTGAAAGCTTTCCTCTAAGAGTATCACTCGGACTGCTGGCCATAAGTCGCCTTGGAATGAGCATTCGTCAGAAGTCCCATACAATTCAGTCAAGAAAGGTCTATGGATGTGACCAGTACACTTTCAAATGGTTACATCTGGTGAAAAGGCGAATGCACGGCGCGATTCGGCCGCATTGGTCGGCAGGGAGAAATACATGAATTATGGGTGACATTTTCCTCATGATCACGTCGGAATGAGTTTGATTCCATGGCAACATCCTGAATCAGCCGTTTCTAACAGTGCCCCTTACAGGTTCAGCTCTTGTAGTGATTTGTTTGGCATAATCTGATAGGTAAACACGTCAGTGTTTGTATTGTAAGGATGAGTAAGTCTGAAATGTAAATATTTGCCGATCGAAGTCTATGCCTAGTGTGAGTAGGCATATGTGTAGCTATTCCGAAGAGTCATTTGTCTGGAGTAGAGTTGTTGTCTGCAAAACTCGAACTTTTTTTGAACTGATTGTAGTAGATAGAGCCTGTCCTTCGGCATGGTGGGCGATTTTCGGAGTATGACTCAAGCCCTCCGTCGAAGGTGTAAAATGTTGGGATTGAACCTTCCAAAGAAGCTTTTAGTGAATTGACATACCTTCGATGAAGTTTTGATGAGTCCTCTGCTATTTTCAATGTCCCTCGCGGTACAATCTGCATTTTCCTAGTCTTCCTAGTTGTAATGGGGTACATTCTGGGTAACGTAAATTTCTTGGTTAGCTACAGTGCTCTGGTCGTACAGGAGCGGGGATTTCCTGCATAGCAATCAGAAGGCTATGAATACTAATCACCTTCGGACATGGATGGATGTGATGTGAAAATAGTTTTTTATAAAGTAATTTTCTTACTGGTGTTATCACGTCAAACAGTGAATTTGTAAAGAACCACACATCTAAGCTGAACAATTACTAGTAACAAGTAAAATATAATACCTGCTCGGATACCCTCATTATTTCCAGTCAGTTGACTGCTTAGTTTCCAGGCCAGTCAAACCCGAACACAGTTTTGCAACAGTTGGTACAACTGCCTCATTTATTGGGGTGAAAAACAGATTTGTTTGGGGTCCATTTTAAGAGTTTTGCAGGAAATTGCGCCATTCCCAGCGGTTAAATGAGATGGCATCCGGGAGCCCATTTACGATGCCTCTTTTTAATGAATGACGTTGCGTATTACTGCAAACAAAGCCATTTGGAAAATTGGATATTTCTATCTTGGAAAACCCTCATGCTCATGGAAATTCATTCCACACTTCTCAATGGCTCGTGGGAAGAAGCTTAAGCTTAAAGGCTGGTCATAGGAAGGATTTTGGAGCGTGACATGCCTAGACAAGAGATTGAAAAGGGGGGACCTAATTTTGTTTTGGATACTAGTTTGCTTCCCCCTCATGTCTAGCGCCTATCATTCATTCTAGCAACATGGGTGGTCCACTTAGGCAGCCGGAGCCCGATTTTACGGGCTACGCACATGACGTCACTTTCTCCCCACGAAAGTTCTTATAATGAAACAAATTTTGGATTTTTTTTTTGCTCCTCGACTTTTTTTGCCTTTCGAGATCCCTCTAAGATTGGTCTGCACTGATCTATGGTATTATCGCGGCGAGACCAACATTAAGCGCTTCACAATCTAATTGCACAGTGATGACGGCGAGAGGGGGTTTAGTCGTCATTGCTGAGTCATTGCTTGCCCCCTCCCCAGTCGTTCTTCGATCTTCACCATCCCCAGGGGTGCGTGAGTGGCATCGCTTTGCTCAATTTCGGCCCCCGAACCACTACATATTGACTCGTATTCGTAAAACGAAACCACGCAGCATAAAAGCCTCCTGTGATGGACATATAAGGAGCTGAGGCAGATAATGCACTCATTTTCTTACAAAAAAAAATCGGGGAAGGGTACCAAAATAAATAGGCATTGGAGACTTCTTGTATCGTTATAGTCTTGACAAAACTTTCTTTAAAAAAGTATAAAAATTAATAAATAAGTAAAATATAAAAGGCGAAATAGAAGATGGTAGTCATTGCAGTTAAGTTTGTTCTCCAACTCTGGGTCCCTGGCAAAAGTATAGTGGCATTTTGTTTGCATCAAAAGTAAACTTTTAAAATTCCATCAATTTACTACGCGGTTTTCTTTTTCGCCGTGGTCCCTCCACCACCAGGGAGAATTTACTGCTAACCTGAACTTACTCATATTTGTACTCGTACTTTAGCTGGCGCAAGTAACTAGGAAACCGTGAGTCAATACAAAGAGTTCCTCATGATTGTATAGTGAATTATGAACCACAATTATGAAAAAACCGGTCGGGCTGCCTGATTTAGAACAATCTTTATTGTGGGACGAGCCATGCCTTCGAAAACGATTGGGATCGTTGCTGTCGTTAAACGTGTGCCTGATATACAAGAGATAAGTATTCAGGGGTCAAGCAATCTTCTTTCAAGGTGCGCTTCCCATTTGACTTTAATTTGGAATCATAGAGGGGTTTGATTGCATATGTAGCTAACACAATTACTTGGAGTGGGTTGAGGATGTACTTGTTTTTCATCCTTTCATCCATCATGACCTCCGAGGGATGAATGAAAGGTTGGGGAGTCGGAGGAGAGTGTCAATTTGGGGTTCAATCCCCAGACGATGCGTGATGCGCCACTTTGCACTACACCTTCCTGGTACCTAGTGAATCAGTGATTAATCGCGAATTAACGCTAGAAGTCTTCTGAAATCGGCGTTCTCTTCGTCCCAGATGGATTCGGTTCCATTCAAACCTTAGTTAGGGTGGGGGGTATTAGGGGCCTAGGTACAGGACGAGATTTCGGCAGAGGTTTGATGTCTGGGTCTTGCATTTAGTAACGACGCCACTTCCTTTTGACTGAGTTCCACTCAAATTAAATAAACAATGCAAAATTCAGAAGAGAAGAACGATAATCCCCCTTCGCTTTTTGTTTCTTCTGCTTTTCTGATTTGAAGAAGCATGTATTATCTTCGATGCCCTTTGTTTGCATTTTTTTTCACATAATCATAGTTCCCATCTTTCTGAAGAATGCGATGTTATGGGAAAACATTGCACTTTTTTGAAAAACGACCCCCAATTCCTCTCGTTTAGAGACCTAAGCCTCACAAATGGAAAATTTTGTTTATATATTCAATATAGATCAATTGAGTAAGGGTTATAGTACATCAAGCTGAAGACTGGAGTTGATAACTAGTTGATTTAATGCTTGTAACGTGAAAATGTAGAGCCGAAAGAAGCTGTAGCTCATTCTATTACCTTGACTTCTCAGTTTCGATCCCTCCGTGGGACATGCAAGTCAGTGCAAGTTTCCGATTTCCGATGCCACACAAACCCTAGGCCCCCAATGAATTCATACTTTTCGAAACGCACTTCACCAACTTCAGTTGTTATTCTCCCTCCGCTAGCGCTCGAAGGATGTTTACTGACAAAGAATTTCGAGAATGACAACAAAATAGGGCATTAACAGACCTAAGCTGTCTCAGAGATGAGATATAAGCCCAAGGGGAAGACACGAAGCCTTAAGCCCTCTCTTAGAACTTCGAAATCAATCACAGAGCTTCTTTAAAAGTGCCTCAAAGGCTCTGGCTCAGAACTGATTGTTCCAGAGAACATGAAATTTTGCATGTGCAAAGAGATCTCTGTTTCAAAAAACTGGGGGTGTGCCTAAATAGGTAATAGTGGTCCTAAACTGACGCAGTCATGAATGCAAATCATCGCTCAAATCGGGTTAACAACGTGTTTTCTCCTACTGATACTGCAAAGAAGATTACCAGTGATTACTAGTTAGTATCACACTGCAAAATGGGTGAGAAGGTTCCAAGTTTAGTAAGCAAGCGCTAGCTGTTGTAAACAATCACCTAGACCAACTCCAGTAGAGACTTATTAGAGGCCAGATTCATCCAATCTAGTAGCTGAAATAGTAAATAGGAGTTAATGTATCAAGTGATAAATTATTCATTAGTTATGTGCTCAACTCGTAAATTTGAGTAACTAGTAAATCGTGCAAATGGTAACCGCTTTGAACGACCATGCGGCCCTGAGCATATGCTGGATGTAGGTTACTAGTAACGGACATCAGTTTTCATGGTACTGAGACAGTTGGTGCACTATTTATTACTATGGTACGGACGATTATCAAATTAAAGTACAACCGTGATTATCCAGACCTGTGTGATTTACTGGTATAACTACTGGTTATATGATTAGGGATCATATATTTCTACAATATCATACAAGGGTTGTAACCGTTGAAATCGGAAACCAAATGAATATATGTATATATCTGATGACAATGTAGTAATTGGCACGAAGTTCGTTACAGTAAAGCGATCAATTGGTATTACTATTACTACTAAAACGCGTACACATCGATATTTGCTTTAGTTGAGTAAAGCCCATGATGGTGTAGGCTACTGATTGGTTTAGACCTTAACAGCCGATGCTTTGATGGCCCTATCGCAAAGTTTCTGGCATTCACGATAGTTGGACGAGACGATCTTGCGAAGGATGTTCAACTGAAACGGGTAAATCAATAACGATCAATACCATTGCATTGATGTAAGGCTACTACCTGTTCCTTTGACACTTCCATTGGGGTGGTAAGCACGGTCCAGATGACGGTCTCCGAGTAGGGGGGAGTAGTAAGAGATCCGAGATAAGTCACATAATCGCGCTTATCTGAAATGTACAAAGATTAGCTCTCATGTGTGGGGAAAGAGGATTTGACACTTCCGAAAATCGGAAGTCTCGTCAAATCTGGGTTTATTCTTCCCCGATCAGGTTGAGAGCAAGGGATATGCGATCTTGGAAAAATCAATAATTCTCGAAAACATGGAAATCGATAATTTATGAGAATTCGGAAGATTCACCCAGAGCTTTGTTCTATCCATTCGAAACGACCAAAAACTTTCCGTCTCACCGGCATACGTGATTGATGCGTATTGATCGAATCAAAGGGGCACTTCCAGCGAACTAGGCGTTTTTATTCTGGTGTCTTTCACTGTTCTGAGGGGGAGCAAGTTTATGGTCCCTCCGTAATTCAAGAGGTCTCTGTTCAGACTTTGATGGTGAATGCATTAAGTTGGAGAGGGAGCCGTTCGGAAGGACAGGCCTCAGTGAATTCATTGAAGAGCGCTCTTCTTGTGCACTTCGGCCTGCATTACGTGATGAGAGCACGGAAATGAATGGCCTCTGTTCATTTATGTCAAAAGAATCGAGGACATTTTCGGATTTTCTATTCTGTCACGGAATTTGTCCGAAAAAACATTAATTGATCCCCTAGGGATGTTCATTTGGCACAGTGTATGGGTTTAGTGTAATGTCATTACTTTGCTGAAAGGGTATTTAGATGAAAAACAGTTTCCAACAGCCCTTAGAGCGTCAGATTGTATTTCATTAATCTAATTGGAAGGCTCTGCAGTTGGACAACAATGAAGAGACCGATTTTTTTCCTGGGAATAGCCCAAGTCCAAGGTGCCACTCGGAGCTAGGGAATGATAAGACCGAAAATTTGACATTTTCGAGGAATCGCTTGATTTTCTTTTTTCAACCTAATTTGAGGAAGGAATAAAGAATTTTTTCATCGTCGATAATTTCCAGAACCAACCCGCTGGTTTTGTTGCTTAACAGCGGTGTTACTGGGTAAGCAGATAGAGAACTTGCAGTTGTAAATCGGTGTAGTGTCTTTAGGTACCCCCGGATCCTCTTCGGACCACTCTCTCAGGCTTTTCTGGGTGTTTCGGTGTGTAAGTACACAGTTGCTAAGCTACTGTGGTATCCAATTATCCGCTGTCAACTCGGCGGGTCCACTTATGCCCAGTCTACTCCATACAAAGCTTAGGGAGTAGGGGTTCCAAAGGATCGCAATGAGGAGGTCATAGTTCAAGGAGGATCCTATTCAGAAGATTCTTCACCTCCTATGGCTATACTAACTTGTATTGGCGGTCATTCTAAATCTGAGACTTCTTACCAGATACAATACTCACCTGAAGGTGGGAAGAGTTGGTCGAGGACAAAGTCCTTTGGCATGGGAATTGGCTGTCTGGCATCAATTGCTTTGCGGACCACTTCGAAGAGTGGAGCATAATGCTTCGAGTGATGTCCTTCCTGAAAAATGAAGGGGTCTCAAAAGTCGATAAGGTCTTCCAATGAATGTGGGCACAAACTTTTTGGCTCAAAACTTTCTGAATCCCCTCGTTCCCATATCCTTCGCTATTCTAGCGGGGAGCTTGGGATCCTAATTGAATTTTGTGCAACGTGCTATGTGAGTGATGGGGCCAATTTCATTATCCTTGAATACTCCATCGTTGCCGTTCAGAAACTTTGTCGACGAAATTCGATATGTACCTTTTGTGTGCATAGTTTCGCATTCCACATATTACTTTTTATTTATTCTAGAGTGCAGCAAAGGTCAAAGGTGTAGCAAAAGGGGCGGGCCATGTGCTCCCACGCATGTCAAGGCTTAGCTACACCTAATTCGAAATGAACCCTTTGCACTGTGTGAACGTGCATGTGAAATGTCACTAATGAGCTTCGATTGAAGTAGTCTTTCATCTCTAAAGCGCTCTAGCCCATCGACCACTTCACCTCTGCCTTTGAAGATGGGCCACCCAGGCGGCGAAGCGACCACCTGTTGCAATGGGGCAGTTCCCATCGTGGAAGGAGCTGGGAGCTCTCATTCAGTTCCCTCTCTCTCTTCTCCCAGGAAGTGATCTCTGTTCTAAAGAGGCTGATGGAAAGCCATTCATTACCTTGATGAAAACAGCGACCACGGCCAGACCATCGTCTTTTTCGGCAGCCGTTGCGAATGATTGGTATTTGGTGTTCCAGAAAACGAAATGTACCTGAACAACAACAATACATCAACGTAATAAACCAGTTATTGAATTCAGCAGAGTCAGAACAGGTTTTGCACCACCCTCTGCAAAGTTCAGCAAAATTTAATCGAGACCTGATTCATGACGGTTCGAAAACAGCGATAAAGGTGTCAATCACGAAGTTCATCGAACCGTTTCAAATCTTTTTCGGTCAACGGTATTTTGTGATACGGTAGCATTAGGGACCATTGAGATTCAACACGTACCTCACCACTCATGGCCTTTCCATTGAGCAGATGTTCCGAGCCACAGCTGCCATCTTTGCTCCAGTGAGCATGGAATTGAGCCAGCTGATAGGTTCCAGGAAGATGGCTTGCCGAGAGTGCTACAACAAGTTACAAGTACTCTTACTAAGTTACCAGTTTCTTCTTGAAATCAGAGGCTTTCCCCTTTACTTTGCTCTTTACGAGTCGATATAGCGAAAAGGTTTCTGGCTATGCAAATTTACTGCTGTTTTTCAAGAGAGCAGTATTTCGGCAAGATTTTGCTGTCACTTGGGAATGTGCATGTTTGATTGAATGCCACGGAGTTCAAAGTAATCAGTAATTGAGTTTTCGAGCTTTGAAAACAGAAACAGGAATGTAGACGATGTAAAAATAGATCGGCAAAATCAAATTTTCAATTCTGATGAACTGAGTGGCGTCCTTGAAGAAAACTCTGGGAGGAAACTCATGTCGAGAATTCAGGAAACTCGTACGAGTTTCAGGAAAGTAAGTAAATGACCGGAAACCGGAAATGGAAAGTGGTAATTGCTGGGACATTCGCTTTTTAACACACTAGAGTGTGTATGTCCTTACACGGTCGAATTTCTATTCCCAAGTCGACTTACTTGGGCAGTTTACTCAGGGGTAATGAGCGATTGGGAAGATTTTGGCGTGGTTTTTTCCCTATTCCAAGGTTAACGGCCCCATGTGGGAAAGGACTGGGACAAAGTGCTCTCGCTCCTGCTCGGTTTATAACATTTTCAAATAATTTTAATAATTCCAAAAGTACAAACTTGTGGTGCATTTGCGTCCAACGTTCACTTGGAAACCATGGTCGGTGCAGACGACATCATGACAATCGCCATGGGTGTAGCTGATGTTCAACGAATCAGCCTGAAATCATCGATAGAACATCCTCGAACAGCATCGATTTCAACTGGGTGTTGTTAAGCGTTTTGTCTTGCATGTGGGAAGCTGGGGGGAACTTATGTTATTGTGTTGTGGGCGTGAGATTATAATGGATTTATGTTTGCATTCGCATTTGCTGGTCGAGGAATTATTCCAGCAAAACCGCGGATCAATGGGGACCCCCATGGGCTTGGCTGTTCACTTCCGGAATTCTCTCATCGTAGATTAAAGATCACCTCGCGTGACATACACAAACGCTGCTCGTGCCCGAAGAAATTGACTTCGAGACGAGAAAATTACATTTACGCCCTATGGATACCCAAGGAATAACCTAGTAAAGGCTGTACAACTAGTAAAGTCAATAGAGTAAAATATGAGTAATCGAATAGTTACCTTGCAATGCTCAGGATCATGGCAAACAACTTCGCTCTTGATGTCGATTGGCGACTGGCGACGGTGTGTGATGGCTGTAAAACAGTAAATTATATTGTTATACCTTCACTTATGTATACACACACTTACAAAATTCCAGTCGGGACCGTATTACATGAAGTGGAAGTTTCACAATGCGTTTTCGGGGCTTTTTCGATATTTTCGTAGGTTTCTCAAGCCTGGCTCGTTTCGGAGGCTTAGGGACAGCTTTGACGATTGCAATACGGGGCCGAAGGGTCCGTTTGGGCAGAGACGACATGGCTCAGTCGATTTGTTTGGAGTCTCGTCCCGATAACTCGAAGACGACAACGACGGCGAAGTTTATAGCGAAATGCCGATAATGACAGCCGCTAGCGGCTGACAACGAATAAAGTCGACTGGACACTTATTCCACGCTGTCATAAACTGGTAATCTGGGTAGTAGACGAGTTCAAGTGCCTTTGAAGTGTTTATCAGTTAAGGAAAAGGCAAA